AAAGATCCAGATGAAGTCCAGTACACACGACCCATGTGACGGAAGTTTGTACGGAGTGTACCATCATCGTATGCCAGCTCATTGGCAATACTGACCTAGAAAGATGGAGAGGAACAAATGGTGGATGAAGTGGCTAACTGACTCTGGCAATATGAAGAAAATATTTCCTCCTCCCTTGTCTCGGCTGTGGAGAAACTGTCCCGGGAGGTCCAGCAACTCAAAAGAGGATATGTCCCTACTCCCCGTCTGTATGGACCAGTATCTCAGCTATTAGGAGCAAGCGTTTCTCTGCTCAAGAGAGGATATAGAGTGTACACACCACAGGACACCCTGTGTTTTTACCTGCGTGACCATGGAGAGGACATGAGGAAGTGGGATGGAACATCCACCTCGACCCTAGAGGCACAGGTATGTGAGTTGCAAGGAAAAACAATCACAAATGGGGGTTCTTCCAGGAAAACTGCTGCACCAGTTTCCAGTGGGCAGTTCCCTAGACAGAGTAGAAGGGCTGATCTCACTTCTGATCTTAATGAAGGGACTCCTGACTCGTATTTACATGAAGTGAGTAACAAATACTACGACCAGGACTAGAAGGACCCTGCCTCCAGCCAGATGGAGGAAAGGGACAACTGGGTTTATTGGACTGTGTGGATTCGATGGCCTGACACATCAGACCCACAGGAATATAAGGCTCTAGCGGACACTGGTGCACAGTGTACCCTAATGCCATCAAGCTATAGAGGGGCAGAACTCATCTGTATTTCTGGAGTGACGGGGGGATCCCAACAGCTAACTGTATTGAAGGCCGAAGTGAGTCTAACTGGGAATGAGTGGCAAAGGCACCCCACTGTGACTGGCCCAGAGGCTCCGTGCATCCTTGCCACAGACTACCTCAGGAGAGGGTATTTCAAGTGACTCAGAAGGAGAACGATTTCAAGTGTGACCCTGAGCAACAACAAGCCTTTGAACAAATTAAACAGGAGATAGGCAGGATAAGACATAAAAAAAGTGCTCTACACTGCAGCTGGGGAGCATGGCCCTACCTGGAGCCCCTGGCAGAAAGCATCAGGGGAGACTCGAGGTCGACCCCTAGGGTTTTGGAGCTGAGGATACAGAGGATCCGAGGCCCACTATACTCCAACTGAAAAAGAGATATTGTCAGCATATAAAGGGGTTTGAGCTGCTTCGGAAGTAGTTGGTACTGAAGCACAGCTCCTGCTGGCACCCCGACTGCCGGTGCTGGGCTGGATGTTCAAAGGGAGGGTCCCCTCTACACATGACACAACTGACGCTACATGGAGCAAGTGGGTCGCACTGATCATACAACTCAAATTAGGCTCGAATAGGAAGCCCCAGCCGCCCAAGAATCTTGGAAGTGATTATGGACTGGCCAGAAGGCAAAAATTTGGGAATATCGCCAGAGGAGGAGGTGAGATGTGCTGAAGAGGCCCCACTATATAATAAACTGCCAGAACATGAGAAGCAACATGCCCCGTTCACTGATGGGTCCTGCCATCTTGTGGGAAAGCACTGAAGGTAGAAGGCTGCTGTATGGAGTCCTATACGACGTCGCAGAAACTGCTGAAGGAGAAGGGGAGTTGAGTCAGTTTGCAGAGGTGAAAGCCATCCAGCTGGCTTTAGATATTGCTGAACGAGAAAAGTGGCCAGTACTTTATCTCTATACTGACTCATGGATGGTGGCAAATGCCCTGTAGGGGTGGTTACAGCAATGGAAGCAGAGCAACTGGCAGCGCAGAGGCAAACCCATCTGGGCTGCTGCATTGTGGCAAGATATTGCTGCCTGCGTAGAGAACCTGGTTGTAAAAGTACATCAGGTAGATGCTCACATACCCAAGCGTTGGGCCACTGAAGAACATCAAAACAACCAGGAGGTGGATCAGGCTGCTAAGACTGAAGTGGCTTGGTGGATCTGGACTGGCAACATAAGGGTGAATTATTTATAGCCCAGTGGGCCCATGACACCTCAGCCCATCAAGGAAGAGATGCAACATATAGATGGGCTCGTGATCAAGGGGTGGACTTAACTATGGACAGCATTCCACAGGTTATTCATGAATGTGAAATATGTGCTGCAATCAAGCAAGCCAAGCAGTTAAAGCCTCTCTGATATGGAGGACCATGGCTGAAATATAAATATGGGGAGGCCTGGCAGATTGATTATGTCACACTCTCACAAACCTGACAAGGCAAGTGCCATGTGCTTACACTGGTGGAAGCAACCGCTTGATGGCTGGAAACACATCCCATGCCCCATGCCACCGCCCAGAACACCATCCTGGGCCTTGAAAAGCAAGTCCTATGGCGACATGGCACCCCAGAAAGAATCGAGCCAGACAACAAGACTCATTTCCAAAACAACCTCATAGACACCTGGGCCAAAGAGCAGGGAATTGAGTGGGTGTATCACATCCCCTATCATGCACCAGCCTCCAGGAAAATCAAACGATACAATGGACTGTTAAAGACTACCCTGAGAGCAATGGGTGGTGGGACATTCAAACATTGGGATACATATTTAGCAAAAGCCACCTGGTTATTCAACACTAGATCTGCCAATCGAGCTGGCCCTGCCCAATCAAAACTTTTACGTTTTACTGTAGAAAGGGATGAAGTCCCTGTAGTGCACGTAAAAAATACACTGGGGAAGACAGTCTGGGTTATTTCTGCCTCAGACAAAGGCAAACCCATTCATGGGATTGCTTTGCTCAAGGACCTGTGTGCACTTGGTCGGTAATGCAGAAGGATGGGGAAGTCTGATGTGTACCTCAAGGGGATTTGATTTTGGGTGAGAACAGCCAATAAATTAAATTGTATGATATTAATTGCTATGTAACATTGTATACCTTCACTTCTATGGTGGTTATATGCCATATCAATGGTATTACAGTAAGAATCACCTAGATTAATGAAGAATGAACTCTGATGAAAACCGAGCAAAGCACAGTGATAATGGAACCAGAACTGGCTTCACCATGCAACAATCCACCACCACACACCACCTCTCCTGCCTTGAAGGACTGTTACGACAGATGGAACCCAAAGTCATGGACTAAATGAACACAACGAACATTTTATAGGGAACGATATCTGTGTGTACATATATCAAAAGACAGGAAGAGTGGTGGTGATTAACTGGCACATATTGGAAAGTGTGGGACCTGGGCATGACAGAGATGGTATAGAATAAGGGGTGGATACTGTCCCGGTTTTGGCTGGGATAGAGTTAATTTTCTTCCTAGGAGCTGGCATAGTGCTGTGTTTTGGATTTAGGATGAGAATAATGTTGATAACACACTCATGTTTTGGTTGTTGCTAAGTAGCGCTTACACTTAGCACTTTTCAGCTTCTCATGCTCTACCAACTGAGAAGGCTGGAGGTGCACAGGAAGCTGGGAGGGGGCACAGCCAGGACAGCTGACCCAAACTGGCCAAAGGGATATTCCATACCATAGGACGTCATGCTCAGTGTGTGAACTAGGGGAAAGCGAGCTGGGGAGCCGCTGCTCAGGGACTGGCTGGGCATTGGTTGGCAGGTGGTGAGCAACTGCACTGTGCATCACTTATTTTGTATATTCATTGGTGTTTATTATTA